GCTTTCAAGACATCAGTTTGATTTCCCCCAGATTCCTCACTGTTGATGGCCACTACTTTTTTCACAAGATTGCTAGTACCATGTCTCTGATGTGTCTTGTGCTGCCAGCAAAATGCAGTGCTTATTTTTTCCCCACCACATGGATTTTCTGAAGTGTTCTGAGATGCAGCTTTAAGTACAACCAGCCGCCAGAGGAAATTGCCCCAGTGTTAACCTTTGAGGCTGAGTGACAAGTATGATTAATCAAAGTAAATAACAGCAAAAATGATATTTACTGGGATTTAGTTCACCAAAAGGAAAGCACAGTACAATATGACACAGTAGGTCAGCTCTCCTTTGGGTGTAAGTCAGTGCAGCTCTATAGGGTTTGGCAGATTTGTACCACATAGCTTCACATAAGGCATTGTCTTTCCCTTAAATACTCCTCTATTAGAAAACTTCCTTTTTAAAGATATGAAAAAAAAAGTGTCCCCTAGTTAGTGTTCACGTAAATTCAGAGGATCAGAGCCAGGATTTACCCTGGGATGGTCAGAGAGGTGGGGACGCCAGTCTCACTCCAGAACAACTCTAGAGCAGGCAGGGCAGGAACAGCTCTGCTGGTACCTTCGTGGGCTCAGGTCATGGCTGGTGGTGAGGTACAAATAATTAGGGGTGGTCTGTATCACCATGATGAGGTAACTTGCTTGCAGAGACAAATGTGACTGCCAGGAAGAGCCCCTCTCCTTTCCAGCAAGGTAACAAATTAATTGGGCTATGTGGCTGTTACAAGGGAAGTCACAAGTTTGCTTGCTGAGCACAGCCTGTGTGCTTGGTGACAGTGACATATGGGAGACAATTAAGTAACTGTGGTTATGTCCAGGTTAGTGAGAAAACAGATCCCCTTATGAACTGGATTTATACCATGTGTCTGGTGCAAAGGTAGCCACATAACCCAGGGTTAGAAAGGAGACACGTGGACTTCCCGCTGAGTTTACAAGCTTCTTGTTCACATCTGCCTATGGATTTCACTGTCGTATAAAACCCCACCCTGCCCTGGCCCTACAGAGCCCTCTCCCTTCCCGACTGGTGTGGAGGTTTGTTCCTTTAGCAAAGGCTTATTTGGTCTTTTAGCTTGATGGCTAAAGCCTGGGTGTATAATTTACCATCCCAGGGTTTCTGAGTTCAGCTGTTTCCTCAAGCCAAGCCCAGCCAGCCAGCTCCAATTCTCCTGCTGTAGGTGGACACATTCAGCATTCAGGAGTGACACAGAGCTGAACAAATCCCGCTCTCTGTAAGAGACAACCCAAAAGCAATCAGCTTGGGGGTTAGGTTTGACTGGCTATGGAAAACACGGGCCGTTGGGAAGCAGCAGCAGGCTGAATGGGAAAGCTGCAGGGGTGTGCTGGGGTGCTCCTCTGGGATAAGAACCAGCCTGAAGGAGACCAGCCCAACCCCTTGCCCTCCTCCCAGCCAGCCTGTACTGAGGGGAAGGAGACAGAGCAGCTGGGAAAAAGCAGAGGCAGCAATGGAGGAAGCAGCCCTGCACCATTTTGTGGCTCCTTCCAGCAATCCCAGGGGCAGAGCACTGCCTATTTTTAGCTCCTGAGGTAGCTGAAATACCACCATGATATTCATTAACGAAAACCCCTTCAGATGGGAACTGCAAGGCAGGGGGTTGGGGGGAGGGGGGGCTGGTTGTTCTGTTTTATTTTGCTTTATTTAATTGCTGGCTTCAGTACAGAGGCAGAGCGTGGCAGGAGGCTCGGCTCCTCTCACCTTGGGGAAAGCAGGAGTGCCAGACCCAGGGGAGGTGGGACGGAAAAAGTCAATCAGGCAGTATTTAAAAATCTACCTGCTGGGCCCAGGGGAGGCTGGAGATTTTAATGTCATTCCCAGCTTGAGATGCAGCCTGGAGAGTGAGAAAAGAAAGGGGTATCTTCTTTTCTTGGATCCTTAATTGCTTGTTAAATCCTCTAACAAATGCCTGAACTTCTGGATGGCCCCATGCTCCTTGACAGAAGGGCTTCATCCTTGGCAGGGGGGAGGAGTATTTTCAAAAACACTTGTTTCACCTGCTTTTTCTGGGTCTATAAAATTGAGAGTTCAATGGTTCACTCTGCAAAATAAAACTAAGTCTGGAATATTTTTATTACCATTCAGCAGGAGCAATAAACTTACCTACGATCTGTTCCCCTGCCCCAGCCTGTCGACTCGGCCTGCCCTGCAGGCAGCTGCCCACATTGCGGCAGAGGAACCTTCCCCATCCCCAAAAGGGACCTCCAGTGAATGCAGAGGAGCATGTACCAAAATAATCCCCTGAGTATGAGCTCAGCTCCGCCTCTGGCCCAAACAGAGCTGATAACCACAGCCAGAGATGCCTGTCCCTGGTCACTTTCATTCTGCCCTGTCATCACTGATCATCTGTGTCTTCTGCTCAAACCCTCTTGTGCTGCGTCTTAAATCACAAGGGACTGCCACAAGTCTCAGTAGTGGAAAAGGTGAGGTAGCTGTTTCCCAGCACAGAAAATGTGACGACCATGCCATTCCCCCTGAAGCTTTGCAGAAAGCAACCTGCAGTTAAGTCCACAAAGCTCAGAAGCAGCCCAGCCTGTAACAGATGGAGAGATTCAAATATGCTTTGCCACACAGACGGATGGACAGATTTGTGACTTACACCTATAATCCCATCCAGTGGTCAAGATAACATATGAAAGACCTCCTTCCTACCTGACTGAAAGCATGGATGCTTTTTCTGCACTACCCACATATAACAGGAATACACTTATAACAGGAATACACAAATAACGGGGGCACACCAGACCACAGCCCCAGTCGGACTGACCATTATCAGGCTTTGTTTTATTTAGAGTCCATGAAAAGAGCAGAATTACAGCTCCAGCAGGGCAGGCAAGCTGTACTGATGATTTATGAATATTCACTGAGCTCACGAAGCACTCCAGGGCAGAAAACAAGCTTTTGAAATTAACTGAACTCTTCAAGGTTCTTCGTTTGTCTTGGCTTTTGAGGTGTGAGTCACCAATACTATTTCTCCAAACCGAGCAGAGTCTGCACAGAGAGCTGGGAGGATTCCTGGGCACTAAAGTATGAAGTTAAGTATTCTGTGAGAAAGACTTCATGAAGTCTTAAAAGCATAGAGACTCCACCCCATTAAGTTTTATGGGATGGTGTCTCTGTACAGTACTGAGACTTCTTCAGCCTGTAAAGACTGCATGATCAGGGGCCTCAAGGCTCTTTCTCTGAGCACTGATGTCTCCAGCAGCTTCAGTCTCAGTGCTAGTGGTTTGGTGCCCTGTGATTTTTCAACAATTTCAGTGTTCAGTAAAGAGAGGCTGCAGAGGACTTTTGATCTGGCCATGCAGGATCCTGGCCATACACCTTGTCGTTCCCACCCAGGTTACTGTGGTGCTCTTCAGCACTGGTTCTCCTCCACTTCTAATTGTACCCATGACCTAAGAAATAATCTGCTTGCCTTACCACAAAGCCTGTAACACCTTGTCCCCAGTGCTCAGGCAGTACCCAGGGAGAGCAGTCCATTCAGCAGTTGGGCTGTTCCCACCATAGCTGCTAAACCTGAGCATCAGACAGGAGCAGCAGCAGCACCTGGCCGGGCAGAGGAGCAGGGCAGGGCCCGTGGTAGCCAGGGAGGGTGTAGGGGCTCCTCCAGCAGGAGATGCACAGGCTCCCCGGGGGCCACTCGCCCAACTGCAGGTGGCTTTGTGCTCATGAGTCGGGTCAATATGATGGACAGGGGTTGTTTGTCCGTGGGACAGTGACAACAAAGCATGGGCACTGCCTGCGCTCCCCTTCACAAGACTCGTGTTTCTGGTCAGCATTTGCTGATTTAGACCAGACACCCTGGAAGGTGAAGACTTCCGCCTGCATTTGTTCAAGAATGGGTTTGATCTAGCAGACAAGAGAAAAGATGATAGAGCAAGGAGGTTATTTTCACTAGTTTGCTGTAAGCACATGTAGGGATAAGAGCTCCTCTTTTCCAATTAATTATAACAATAATAATTGCTTTTGTTTCAGCTGGTAGAAATATGAGACTTACAAAATTTTCAAAGCAATGAAAGAACCACTCTGCAGATTAGCCAACACGCCTGGGGTTTCAGGAGTCGGGGGGGAGGGGGTATGGGAGATCCACTTTACTGCGAAGCAAGCAGAGGGGTGTCATGAATTTGGGCGTCCAGCTTTGCAAATGAGTGAAGCATCAGCCACTGTGGACTGTTACAGCAGGGCTGAACTTAGCTATTCCAAGGCTGTCTAGACATTCCCATCCTAAATCTGAGACATCTTCCGGACTTGAGTTGTGTCAGAACACTATCCTCCAGGAAAAGTTGCTGTTCCAGTGAATCACATTTTTCTCACCAAAAAAGATTCCATCTGCAAATAGCCAGCTGGCCCTGCCCTCACTGCCATACTCCTTAACCGCAGGAGATTCCTCTCCCTCTGAGTCACAAAGCACAACAGTGAGCCAAGGTGGTCTGTGTTAACATGAATTAGCCCCTATAGCAGGGGCTCATAGCAAAGAATAAGAATTCAGGAAAAGCAATAAACCAGCACCTGAAAAAAAATTGTTTCTGGAGCCTTTCTGCTGTCCTTTCTGATACAAACGGCCCCTACTTCAGCAAGGTTACACACTCGGTTAAAACAGGTATTGTTGCAGGATATGCGTCACTTTGCTAACATACAATATACATATAAGAATTTCCTTCTCTTCCCAAGAAGCTCCACACATATGCAGTGTCCATTGATTTGTCTGCTGAATAGAAATACTTGCTGACATGAGATGGATTGCACAAATAACCTCTTTCCTTGTGGCTTCCTTGCTCCATCCTCTTTTTGCCCTTTCTGCTGGATCATACTGTGTAGATTCTGAAACCCCATCCTGAGAAATGCAGCCTCTTTACTACTGATAGTTTGGTGAACTGTTTATGAAATCTCTGGCTCCCAATTCTGCCTGGAGCATGTATGTGACCTCTTGTTTCTTTCCTCTACAGGCTGATGCCAAGATGGTCTGTGATGTCGTAAGTCGGATGGAGGACACAGAGCCCTTCTCTCCAGAGCTGCTGTCAGCTATGATGAGACTCTGGGCAGACTCTGGGATCCAAGAATGCTTCAACCGGTCCCGGGAGTATCAACTCAATGACTCGGCCCAATAGTGAGTATCTCTGTCCATAGCCTTTTGTGTTAAGAAGCTGTATTTGGGCTTGTTGAAGTTTTAACTAAAGTTAATGACCTCATAGCAGCAGAGGTCATGAACATGGTTCTGCCTACAGACTGGGATGTGTATTGTGTCACAGGTTGCTGCAAGGCAGAAAGGATAAGGCAGGACATTCGTGTCCCCTCTGGCCAGTTTGAGGTCAGGCCCGTGACCCCGAGGCCAGATTCCCAAACTGCTCCCAAAGGGTTCAAGGTAGGTTTCCACAAACATGGATCTAGTGAGCAGAGGCAGACCAACCCATGGACGTGGCTGATGGCTTCTTCATTTGTCAGATAACAGAAGGGTGTGATCACCTGCTTTGTATAACATAAAGATTTGTATAAATCTTTGCTCTTGTGTTTGCTTTTCTGATAGTTGTAGACTGTGCTGATATCTTTGCTGATATCTTTGCTTTTACAGTGGCATTGCATTATTCTCATAATACAGTCGGTGGCATCTCTACCATTAGGGACCACATCCAGAATTTTTCTAGTGTTGATTGTCTGAATCCATGGCTTTGGTTCATCCCATCATAAGGACAGGACATCTACCCATAAACGACTGCTCTGGCTCTGAAGAAATGTAGAGTCCCTCCCCAGTTTCAGTTCAGACCCATTTCTAATGATAATTCATCTGATCTGTTTGGCTCCGCCTAGGCAAGGAGAGTAAAGCTTCTCATCCCATAATTTCAATCGCAGGAGCTGTTGCAGTCAGGCAAAATGTCCCCTGGCCCTGCACTGTGTCTTGGGCGGTAGTCAGTAAAATGTGATTAAGTATAAGCAAAACAAACAAGCAAGCACAGGGTGATCATTCCCCCAGTTATACCCTTGGACTTCTTGGTAGTCAGGGAAATAGAGACTTCCCCAAATGGTGACAGGGGAGTGCTACATCCATGCTTTTGGCTTTCACAATATCCCATGTCAAGTTCACCAGCTGACTCGTACTCTTTGGAGTTGTTACTGAGTGTTCGGATTGTCTGGCATATCTCCTCAGGGTTTTCCTGGATATCTATCAAAACACGAACCCAAGCACCAGCATGGCGGATGGTTTTGTTCTGCACCAGCTCCTCCCCTCCAAGCTGGCAGGGCAGTTAGGGAGCGCAGGATCATTTCTGCTCTTGCAGTGCTGCAGCAGAAGGCTTGTGATGACACATCACTTGGCACTGACCAAAAACTAAATGGGAAACCTGCAGATGTGTGGTTGGTGTCACAGCATCCTACCCAACCATTTGTCACCACAAGTGACTACATCTCAGTGATGATCCTGGCATTATGCTGCCTTTTAATCACTCCTAGGTGGACATCCATGTTTAATCTATATTTCATTGCCTTTAATAGCAAAATCAGCCTTCTTTTGCCAGCAACTTCTGTTGTGGTTTTTTTTTTTAACAAAAGAACACTGATGGCATAAACATACCTTTAGAGATATAAATTATATAAAATGCCAGTCCTAATTGCATTACAACCTTGTGGAAAATTCTTCAATTGTTTTAGAGCCAATTATCTTGAGGAAAGTATTTTGCTTTTCCTTCCATGCAAGATAGCAGTTGAAAATAATAAGCATAGCCCTCCCAATGTGACCAGCTGCTGGGCAATTCATCAGCAAGAGCTCTAAAACCACAAGCAGTTTGTAGACATCAACTGAAGAGGCTCTGTGCTGTGGTATTCACAGCAATATTAACGTGTGGTTGCAGCACAGCAAAATGAATTTTGGTGTCTTTAACAAAATCTCTTGTATCCAGAGAATGATGCATGATCCTCTTTGCCAGGGGAGGGTTGTGCTGCCTCTCTCCTTAGCTACGCTGTGAGTCGTGCTGTGGCTTGACACTTGCTTTCTCCAGGCTAGGTCAGATGGTGAAGCTGAAGATAACAAGGTCCTGCACATTTACGGACCTGATGCTGTTAAGGAGCCCCTGATGGTTCCGTCACCAGGAGCAGAGATGCTGTCACAGGGCAGGGCACTGTAACATGTCCTGCTGCACCTCTAGGCCCTGGTGCCATCACACCAGATGGTGATACAAGTGAGAGCTCAGTTGGCACTTATTCACGCCCAGTGGACTCCCAGTGAAAAGAGGCATATTTTTCATTTAATCCTTCAATGCTTTGGGGTTGTTTTCTTCTGCATGAGTGAAATATTTGAGACAGTTTTCTATTTTTTTTTCTCCCTCTGGGAGAGGGCTTATCTTTATTGACACTGATATTGGATTTAAAACACTAGCAGCTACAACATGTGTTTTCATTAGGGCTGAGAAAAATAAATTCCAGGCAAGAACTGAATCTGTAGTTCCCCAAAGTTTGAAAAACAATGACAGGCAATGAGCTAGACTAGCATCGTTCTTATCTCAGGCTTCTCTTGGTGTTAAGCCATAGGGACTGGTGTTTTGCTGGCAGGAGGGAAGTTTGCTGCAGGAGTCAGAGATCATGCTCCATGGCTGCTCAGTACATACTGCAAAGCCCAGAGGCACCAAGCGACCAGCTCCTGTCGTGGCCAGCACAGGTGGGACCTTCAGGAGAGGTCCAGGCACTTCCCTTTGCCCCAGAAACCACGTGCTGAATGGCCTGAATGCGTATCAGCCATCCACTGTCTGGCTATTTCTAAGGAACCTCTACTTGGGCTTCTCTGAGTCAGTGCTGCTGTTGTCCTACATTGCTCTTCCAGTGCTATACCTTGAGGTTTTTTTAATGGCTTGAACAACAGGCCTTGTGTTACAGCCCCTGGGAGAGCAAGTCACAGGCTAATCAACAGCCTGCAAGAGCTGGCAGCATGGCTCTTACTAGTCTATCATTAATTTCATTGAAAAGAGATTTCATATTTTATATTAGCCTAAACAAGAAGTGAGTAATAGCTCACCTCCCCTATCAAAGATGGGCAGGAGTGTATTGCTTTCCACTCTCCCATGCATGCCTGCCTAATGGTGTGGACTTCCCTGCAAAGCTTTGCTTCTTTTAGGCTCTAAAATCAGCCTGTCCTTAGCAAGGATTTCATAGCTACTGCAAAGGAACAGTAGAAAACAGCACTTTTGCAAAGAAAAAACATGACCGAGGAAGAGGGGAGGTTCTGCAGTGGGCTTCCTGTGCCTTGGACAGCAAAAAGTAAAACCATAAGGACAGCAAGAGAAGGGAAGAGAGTAAGATGTATCAGTTAGTTTCATCCTGTTTCGTTACTGCATTTTTTCATCATTCCCCAAGGCAAATTTACGGGTGGGTTGAGTTCCACACTCCTAATCTCTTGATTATGTTTTTATTCCTACTTCGTCTCCTCTTCCTTTCTTGTCTCCATGCCTAGGAGCTAAATCTACCTCTGATCATCAAAGAGTCTGGGCACTGCTGATGTCTTTTTCTTCTCTAGCCAATTTCTGTCTGTGGAAGCACATCTGTGACCCACATTTTGCTTTCAAATTCAGCAAAATAGAGGTTTCCAGCTGGTTTCCTTAATCTCCTGCTTTTGTTCAGATTTTAAAATTGTCTTGTGTTTCCTAGCCTTGAGTTCCTAACTAGCCTGGTCAGTGGAGTACAGTGCATAGGGCAAGTTTGATCTTAACCCAGGGATGGGGACCTGTTTTGAACGACCTCCAAGCTCCAGGGGGGGAATGGAGCAGACGGAGCATCCACACGAGCACAGGTTTTCCGTGTGCATATCCAAACAGGCACAGGCCCTGCAAGATGTGTAGGCAGAGACAGTTTGCAAGTACACAGACACAAAAAAGCCAGAATCTATCTCAAGTTATTCTCCTCCTGCTTCCAAGTACATTGAAAGATCATTTGATAATGCCAGTGCTGTGAAACTACCGTGAAAATGTAAAATATTTTAGGCCTGCGTTCAACCCATCCATCTTCACACATATCAGAGGTGTCAGGGCTAGGAAGCTTGTTGCCTTTGGCTCTCTCTGTAGGGAGTGAAGGGAGGGAGAGATGCCTCCAGAGAGGGATGCAGACCTCACTGCTCAGTGGTGAATCACAGAATCAGGGAATAGTTTGGGTTGGAAGGGACCTCAAAGATGATCTAGTTCCAACCTCCCTGTCACACACAGGGACAGCTTCCACTAGACCAGGCCTTGAACCCTTCCAGGGAGGAGGCATCCACAGCTTCTGTGGGCAACCTTTTTCCAGTGCCTCACCACCCTCACAGTGAAGGGGAGATGCAATTGTGTCTGCTGTTCTACCACAGCTAACTGCAGCCCTGGCATCTCAAGTCTGTGCCAAATACCACGCCCAAACTGGACAACACTTCCATCACTCCATCTTCAAGAACTCCTGTGGCAGTGCCTTATAGAAAAGCAGCACCAAACAGAATAAAATACTGCAGTGCCTTCCTTTTCTCAGTGGGACTTTTTTCTGATCTCTTTTCCTTGCAAAAGAATTGCCTTTGCATGATGGTATCACCTTCCCTACTGATACTTATTGCATCCCACATGCCAGAACACACTTTGCATCAAGAAAACAGCCAAGAGTAGACCCAGATGTTGTTGTGATGTGGTAAATGGCTTCCAGACTGAGCCCCAACAAGGCAGCACTGGAACAGGCTGCCCAGAGAGGCTGTAAAATTTCCATCCTTGGAAATACTCAACATTGAGCCACCTGAGCTAACTTTCAAACTGAATTTAACTTTGAAGTTGGCCCTGCTTTGAACAGGGGATGGTCCAGATGAACTCCAGAGGTCCAATCCAAACTAGCACTTTTAGGTTTGTCTTCTGTTTTTTTTTTCCCTCATTCTTTCTCTCATGACACTGTGTTTAAAAGGGAGAAAGGGTCTTTGGGGTTGGTTGCAGTCTCCTGTTCCTAGCCATGCAGGACCATGCACCTCTATGATAATGCTCCAGTCCTGCAAATCCTATGGTCTAAACTTTTGCCTTGCTGGTGAAACCAGCTCACAGGACATGGGCATTATGCATGACTGTCAGGACATGGTCCATTTTAATGAGCTGCGATTGTTGCTGGCTCTCTCAGACTGAAGAAAGG